GGCCCTTCATCAAGAGGATATACAGTCAGAAGATCTCAGCTCAAATTTTGAATTAGTAGTTATATAATTCTAAAGCCTATTCCTCATGCATAAAGTGGAGATAACATTACAAATAATCACAGGATTATTTAGAAATTCAGAAGTATAGTTTCTGAAAATACTACATAATTGTAAATTGTTACATAAATGCTAACAAATTGTCATTGTCAAATTTTACAAAGAAAACTATTGTACAGTAATACAATTGGTTTACAAAATAACTACCATGGATTTCTGCTCTTTAGGAAGCAACTTAGTATTTCTAACATACTCACCAACAGAGATACCACTGTACTAGAGTAGAAGGCCAAATCTTCTATAATTTCTGTGCGCCTGTTAGCTCCAATTCGTAACGAACGACTATGCACTTCTTCAGGTAATACTGTAAGGATTTCCAGAAGAAAAGGCAGAGAAGTTACATCATTGCTATATCTGGAAAAGAACAGGGGAAAGATACCATCAGAAGTTATCTAGAGTCAAGAAGTACACAATCATGTAAGATAACAACAGTCATTAGAATAACCCATGACAACAAAAGAGGCATTCTCACTACTGCTGGGGGAGGTTGAAAATATACACACAAGTCTTTTGGAAAGGTATCTGGGAAGAGCTTCCAATCAAAAATTTCAACTTGCATAATCTTTGGCCTGGCAATTTCACTTTCAACAATCTCTCTCAGAAAAAAACTTACATATACAGTTAATCCTCATTATTTGAAGATTCTGTATTTGCAAATTTCCCTTCTCACTAAAATTTATTTGTAACCCCAAAATCAGCACTTGAGCAGTGAAAACTGAGCTGCCCAATGCCCACCTTCGCAACTGAGGGTGAGCAGGGCCATGCTCTTCCTCCTTGTCTGAGTCCTCACACAAGAAACAAGTGTCCACTGCACTGTCTATCCAGGGCCATTTTCTCACATTTTTTGTGGGTGATTTAGCTATTTAAAACAGAGTCCAAGCATACTGCTGAAGTGCTGTCTAGTGTTCCTAAGCACAAGATGGCTGTGATGTGCCTTATGCAGAAAACACATGTGTTAGATAAGCTTTGTTCAGGCATGAGTTATAGTTCTGTTGGCTTTGGTCATGTGGTGAAAAGGGACCATTGCCTGGAGAAAGGTATCATGCTTGGTAAAGTAGTGGGTCAGCGAAAAAAGGGAAGACCCTCAACAAGATGGATCAACACAGTGGCAGCAACAATGGGCTCAAGTACAGTTTGGCAGTTAAGGTTGTGTTTCAAATTGGGTGGGCCTGGTTGAGTGGCTGGGCAGCTGAATGTAGTTATTCTCCATAGTGAGACTGGTGATCAGTTTCACGATGCAACCTTCTGGAGCACCTGAGTGTCTGCTTTAGAGATGTGCTCTGCTTCTAGTATATAAGCAGCAGCTTTGAGGAAGGTCTCTAGCTTTTTGGCATCCTTGAACCCTACACGTAGCCAAGTCATTGTTCAGCAGCCTGCCATGCCCTGCCAATCTTGGGACTTTTTTTGGACCTGAATTAGTGGCCTGCTGTGTCGTTTTGTTAATATCGGAACTGTGTCTTTTTACTTGTCAACCCCAGGTTTGTCAGCCTCAGCAGCCAGCAGCTGCCTAAGTGAAGAAAAGCCTCCAGCTTCAACGGGCCAGGAGCAAGAGGCAGAGCTAAAGCCCAAGGTTTAAAAGCTTTCACTCAGCCCCTGGCTCTTTGAACTTGGACTTCTAGCCTCCCAAAGTATAAGAGAATAAACTATTTGTTCAAGCCATTTTCACCCATGGTATCTTCTGTTAGAGTGACACTAGGTAACCAAAACACATAGCAAGGATTGTGAGGATGGTGCAGGACTGGGCAGTGTTTCGTTCTATGTACACAAGGTCACTACGAGCTGCAGTCAACCCGGCAGCATCTGACAGCAACGACTGCTTCACTTTATGCCATTCTGGCTTATGAAAGGTTTCCCAGGCATGCTCCACTCTCAAACAGTAGGAGAAATCTGCACTGCTAACAAGTCTCTGCTGAAGTTAATGTAATTCCAAATGCTAATATATATCAGTACAAGTTACTCACTTTTCCACCAATGTCTGTACACACCCTTTCCAGGAAGGCATCTGTAGGGCAAGGTCTGCTATCGCTAAAGCCAGCTGAATAAAAGAAGAGAGATTAAATAAATGAACATGACAGATGACCATCAACAGGGTTACCATCAATACATAAGCAAAGAAACTAAATTTCTTCCAAACAATATGACAATTAAGACCGCTTCCCAATTAAGACCTTCAACTATACATACACTATAAACTCTTCTGGCTAGCCACAAACTGTTGGAATTTAAAAGTTGACCTTCAAAATTGAAAAACAACAAGAAGTCTGAAATAAAAGACTACAGATTTTCCTGAAAAGATACCCATACTTACTTTTAGTTGGCAATATCATAGAACTTCAAAGGAGCATTGATGGTGTAGTGCCTAAAGCATGTGACTACTAACCAGGAGACTGGCGGTTCAAACCCACCAGCCACTCTGCAGAAGATGGGGCTATCTACTTCCGTAAAGATTTCTGCCTTGGAAACCCAATGGGGGTCGCTATGAGTCGGAATCATAGCAGTGGATAGCAATGGGTTTTATAGAACTTCATGGATGGAGATTATAATTTGCCAAACGCCAAAGCTATTGACAGGGTTAGACTTTTGACTCACTCCTCAAATAATGGGTTGCTGTGCCCTTTTCTTTCCATTGTTCATCTTGAAGCCCTAGGTAAAAGCCTCCTCCTCAAAGGCACTTCCATGCCAGGCAGAGAGCACACACGAGTATGTGTTCACTGGCTTCCAGTTTTCTTTCCAATGTACTTTTCTGTCTGAGGGGGAAAGGCCAGATGCTCTAGTCCACCCTGCTTCATCCATGAGACTCAGACTAGTCAGTCGATCCAGAGAGGATTCAAAGAAAAGGTAACTGTGTCGACCTTTGACCCAGTAGACTATAGTATCCATATCTTCTGAAATTTTAATAATAGGGACACATGTGTACCTGTGAAAATGTAAGCTCACGACCCCCACTTTTGGTATTTCAGTTAGTTTGAAACCATATGAAGTCTAGGATTAGCACAAAATTTTTACATTTTCACTTACAAGATTATGACAATGAGTCTGCAATGAAGTTGTTAACATTACCTCACATGGCCTAGAATATCAATCAAAATAACCTTGATAAATCCAAATGGCCTTACAAATTTCCCTAATGAGAAACACAGGATTTACCTGCGTTACAATAACAGGTGACAAGTCTTTCAAGTTCTGGATATGGGTTAGCAATGAGTCCCGCAAAGAGGCATGAGAGTCTGTGGGGAGCTCATAAAATGAGGTCTGAATCTTCATTTTCATGGTCTGTGCAGCAAAATAGCACGATTCCACATCCTGGCGAATCTGTAACAACTGGTCTGAAATTTCCCATGCATGAACCTGCAAGCAGATCAGAAGAAGTCTTCAAGACTGTTTTTCAGTGTAACTATAGTGCCATACATACAATCTCAAAACATTATAAACACATGCAACTCAAAGTATAATGAAAGAAAACTCTGACAAGCTAGATATTAATCACCAATTCAGCCAACTACAAACTATACTGTTCTAGGCTCTGTTCAGTAACTAGGACCTAAAACCTTTCCAACTCATTCTAGAAAGGCAGAAAAGTTATCAATTGAATCCCAAGATGTGTTACTGATTAGAATCACTAACTGCATAAGGGTGAAGGGTATGAAGAAAATGTCCCAAAAGTTCCTACTACTTCTAAAATACCACTGTGTAACTTCCACCCCTAAGCTATAGGATGGATGCTTTGTCTCTTTTTCCACTTAAAATAAATAAGCTTTATTCACTCTGAGAATTGAGTCTGGAAGCTGTTTTATAACAGCTATAGGCAGGAGAACATATTTCATATTGGTCTTGATAGGCTTGCACTTCAATCTTCAGTTTCTAAATAATATGGCAGGAAAAACTATCTTGTCTCAAGTGAGTATTTCACATATTTCAATTATTTTCTCATGTATTTATATTTGACAAAGTATTACACATCCTCTAAAATCATTTTCACAGGAGAAAATAAACTTACCAACGGAAATAACAAAAAGAATAAAAGCACAGATTTTGGTCTCTTAACAGGTAGTCAAGGTTATAAAAGGAAGCCCTATTTGAAGGATAGCTTTGGGAACAAAATCCTGCAATACACTGTAGGCAACTAATTAAGGCCAATAATTCTAAGCCAATTCTATACCAAACTGCCTCTTCATGGGAAAAGGCTAAGATGGACTGGCAATCTCAATCTCAATTCAGGAATAGAGCCAAGTGTGAAGACAGGGCACAAAGATTTATCCGGTCAATTTTCTTAGGGAGATTTAGCACATCCCAAGTAACACATAATTATTCTTCAAAATCTTTCCAAAGATTGGTCCATTTATGTTAAGTCAAGATAAAAGACAGGTGAAAAAGTAAATGGCCTGTATAAACTCCCAAAGTCAACAGAAAATAGAAAAAACAAAAAACCAGCTGCCATGGAGTCAATTCTGATTCACAGCAACCCTGCAGAACAGAGAACTGCCTTATAGGGTTTCCAAGGCTTTACAGAAGCTGGCTGCCCATGTTTTTCCCATGGAGCAGCTGGTGGGCTTGGACCACCCTGAATCTAACAATTTAGGTTTACTGACATAAAACTCAGTTTGCAATGCAATAACCTGGTGGAAAGTAAACATAAAGAATTAACTTTCTTCCAGATACGGTGTATTTTATTAAGTTTTTGTTCTTTTTACTCCTAGTACAGTGTTTCAAAAATAGACACAGTAAACGTTTACTGGATTAACATACTACTACTAACACCAAATTCCCTCTCTCAAGTGAAAAAACATTCAGCCACATAGTGTTTAGCCATTCATTAACTAATCAGCCTCCAAAACACATCTATACCTGAATATGCCACCACAGTACCTTTATTTTGCTCAAAGTGATTATTACAAAAAAATAGCAAAATCTACGAAAGGTCTGGAATCTCTACAACTGTCCTCATAAAAGCAGATGGCACCATTGGACAACAAACCCAAAAAACTAATGCATAAGATTTACAACAAACCCAGGTGACAGAACTGTCTCAAAGAACTCCAAAATGCGAGCAGATGAGAACACACTAGTGATGCCTGTTAAGATTTGTGTGGTTTTGGCTTCAAAGTGGAGGCAGAGGGAAACAGCACAGTGGATCTCAGAACAAAACACCCAGACAGCCAGTAGCTTTACTGGAAAGCACAGGGGGCCAGTGTGAGGACAGCAACTACAGATGGGTGAGGTTTTGCCAGTCCAATCCAACTGATCAGAAGAGGCCCACTTAAAGTCTGAAAGGGATGGAATAGTCTAGCCTGTACAAACTCTTAAAACTAAATAGTCAGGGCAGGACCTCAAACTGAGGAGAAACTGCTAAGAACAGAATGAAATTATACAGGACAAGTACAACAGAGACAAAGGAAGAAAAGGAGAGCAGAACAGAGCCAGAAAATCTCAGGATTCAAACCACCACATTTATAAACACTAGCTGAAAACAACAGAAGAGGAAGCTCTGTGGAGCTAGAAATGCTGTCCTTAACTATGCCGCCTTTTAAAAGTCCAGAGTATTTATTTCACAACAAAATAAACAACAGAAAACAACTGAGGGCAAATGTCATACCTAAGTATAAAGGGGAAGAAAAGGAATAATGAGCAGAAAAACACCAGTATAAACAAGGAGAAACAGAGAAAGAGTCAACCTCCTATTTCAAAATGAGCTAAAAGACATTAAGAAAATGACACCAGATAGAAAGAACAGAATTGGAAAATTCAACAATTAGGTAACAGAACTCATGAAACAATTAGAAGTTTTTTAAAAAAAAGTCATCAGAGATGAAGACTGAACTAGGAGAACCTTCACAAGACTGTCTAAGCACACCAAATTATGTCTTAAGAGAAAGTGAAAAGAAGAGACGTTTTCAAAAGAAATGAGGAAAGATAAAAGTTTTGAGAGAAAGTGACCAATACTGAAGCAAGGCAAAGATCTGACATACAGGCAAGAGGAGGCCCTGGAGGAAATAATCACTCAACACAATTCTTCAAGAAAATGTTCCTGAAACTGGGGAGTAGGGAGTAGACATGAAATTACACATTGAAACAGCATATCACACAACTTGAAAAATGTCTTCAATGTCCCTGAGCTGTAAATGTGGAAGTTATGTTGGCGAATGTCTTGTTGTGTTTGTTTTCACCACAATAAAAGCTAAAAAAGAAAGAGCAAGCATATGATATACCTGAACATAACTCAGAACACAAACAATGCCAAGACATAATCTGATAAAATTAAAGTATTTCAAGAAAAAGAATAAAGTCATTTGGGCATTGAGATAAAAAGAGCCAAATGATTTATGAGGGAGAGAAAACTGGATTATCATCATCTTTGACAGGGACTTTCATAGCAGAAGAAAATGGAGTAACAAACTGAAGATACATTAAGGAAGAAAATGTGATAAAGATTTTATATCCAGTCCACGTGACTTTAAAGTATAAAAGCTACAAACTTGTACATGCAGGAATTCAGTCCATTGCTCCTATGAGTCCCTTCTAAATAATCTGCTAACAACAGAGACAATCAAAATGACTAGAGAGAGTGAGGCCTCGACACAGGACTGGTGGTAAATGTTAAATATACAGTTATAAGGACAAGAAGCTTTGGTAGCACAGTGCCTAAGGCATCTGATTGCTAACCAGAAGGTTGGTTGTTCCACGGAAGCAAGACTGAGCAATCTACTTGTGTAAAGATTTACTGCCTCGGAAACCCAATGGGGATCGCTATGAGTCTAAGTCGACTCAATGGCAGTGGCTTTGGTTTTGGTTTAGTTATAAGAACAACTGAGAGTAAATGAGGACTAAAAGGGTGAAAGATGGTATGCAATGATTACATGCTCTGACAGTACAGACAGAACTATTTTACTCAGTATAGAAGGAAACATATTAATATTGAAGAAGTTAAGTTAAAAACCTTCTAGTACTGAATTTGAATTAGAAGCCCTGTTAGAGTAGTGCCTAAGGCACTTGACTGCTAACTGGAAGGCTGGTGGTTCAAACCTACCAGCCACTCCTCGGAAGAAAGACTGGGCAATCTACTTCCGTAGTGATACTGCCTCGGAAACCCAAGGAGGGGTCGTTATGAGATGGGTCCGACTCATAACATAACAACAACAACATGTAAATTGATGAGGTATTTTATCTTTTACTTATATACCCACCTACTGACATATACATAATCTACATACACATACATAGACATATGCTATCCACTCCAAGGCCTAGATAACAATGTGCAACCCAATAGCAATAAGCAGCTCTGGTGGTACAGTGCCTAAGGCATTTGACTGCTATCCAGAAGGCTGGCAGTTCAAACCCACCAGCCACTCCTCGGAAAGAAGACTGGGCAATCTACTGCCATAGTAATACTATGGAAACCCAAGGAGGGCTCGCTATAGCTGGATGCGATTTGACAGCAGTGGGTTTGGTTTTGGTTTGGAATGTCCAGATTCTGGTCTCTACATTTTCCACTAAAAGAAATCAAGGTTCCTTAGAGAAATTGCTGGCTCCAAGCCTGAAGCAACATTCAAGATGAAACTAAGATACATGTCACATGAGATAGCAAGGAAGCTATCTGAGCCTATTAGAGTCACGTTAAAAGTATCAAGGAGCCACCTTTATGAGGCCAAAGATCGGACAATTTGAGTTTCAGCAAAAAACTGAAATGATCACATATAAAAATCTATGACAATTCCTAGTGATAAAGAGAGAGGAAAAAAGAGGTCACCATAGACATAGTGACCACTGGAAAAGGACAGAAACCCACCATCTTACAAATCAATAAATAAAGGAGGAATCAAGCATTCATCCTGATTTTCTTGTATTAACTGTATACTAGGTAACCAAATCGTAGGTAAGGGGAAGTATCTCTTTCTGCAAGTATTACAGCAAACAAATGGAAAAGGAGCAATGGGTGTAGAATAGCACCACCTTGCAACCCACAGTGAATGGATCTCAGCCTTGAGCAGCAACAGCTGATTACATTACAGAAAGAGAACGAAGTAGGTTAAGATAGCAGCAAATTCCTTGCTACTCTCCCACTGAGGGGTGAGATCTAATTCCCCTACTCTTCAGTTTTTTTTTGGCCTTAGTAAACTGGCCTAACTGAAAGAATACGGCAAACGGGGCATTCTACAACTTCCAAGGTTAGGTCAAAAGTGGTTTTGCCTTGGTTTCCTGAACACTAACTGTACTCTGAAGAAAGCCACTGCCATGTACTCAAACTACTCTGATGGAGAGCCCTTACCACAACACAGAGAAAGCCAGGCCTGGCTGAGGCCAGCCTTCCAGCCAATCCCACCAGAGGGTCAGGCATGTGAATAAAGCTG